AGAGAATATCACACTTTGATTCTTATTTATAAATTATGTGAGACTATTTAATTACTTTTGTAATTTTAGGGAAAACTGTATAAGCCGATTTATATATAGTGAGTTTGATGAAATATAATGAATAATGAGAGGAAAATCATTTTTTCCCCCATGCCGTATTGCAGACAAGTTTCCATAAGACTGATTTCACTTGCCAAAGACATTTGATATATCAATTGCAGCCATATCTTCTAAATATAATAGATTACTGCCATGTGCATGAGTTAAGGAACACTGTGTTGTGTAAGTTGAAAGAACATCTGAAATATATTCCTGAATTTTGAATAACTCATACTTCAGAAATGTTCATATTTCAATGACAGAGAAATAGAAAATCCAAGGCATATATTTGCTGACTATTTGTAATTGATGTTGGACTCTACAGAATTTGACAAATAATACACGGTTGTACTATAATCATACTGTGCTATTATTTTACAGCAGTAATTCCTGAGACATCAATCATATCCATCCAGAGTCACAGGCAAAGAACTTACCCCCCTCAATTCAAAGGCAACTCTTACTCAACTTAGGAAATGAATCTACTATATACTTCCAGTTGTACAATAATTGAAATGTTTCTATTGAATTTTGTTATATACAACCCAGTTGTCTGTTTCTTTGAAAACACTGTGACTTTTTTTCTCATTTCAAGGATGACTTAATGAGATGGATTGAATTAATATCTAAATTTTCAAGGTGGGAGGATCTTACTATTAAAATAGGAAACTAGAGGTCACAATAGAGAAGTCAATCATTTTTGAATGCTTAAAAATTTTATGCAGTCAAGGACTCCAAAAATAAGTCAAAGAGTGAATTATAGATTACAAAATAAACCTGCAATCCTTGTAACATATACAAGATTAATAACTAATGCTCATAATAGACAAGAAGTTTAAGAAAAAGATCTAATAATAGGCAAAGTCTACTTATCTATAACAAATATACCTATAAAACAAATGCAAGTGTCCAAGAAATAGGTGTTCAATCTCAGCTGTAGTCTGATAAAAACAAGCTAAAATAATCATATAATTCATCTAGTTTAGCAAAAGTTATATACATACATAGTTATATATATAAAGTTATATATATATATACACAAAACGGTGTTGCTTAGAATGCAACAAAATGTACATTTCATGCATTGTGAGAGAAAAATGACAATTCATGTGTCTGAAAATGAAAAGGGCCCATAACATATATCACATAAGAGAGAAACTCCACTCCTGAGAGTCTAGTTCACAGAATGAAAGCATCAGTACTTAGAGAAATTTTTACAGTATTGCTTGTAAAGTTAAAGAACAGAAAAAAATAAGAATAAATAGCATTAACCTGAATATGGTCAACATATTTTTAAAGACTAAAAATAAGAGTTTCAGCTGGGTGTGGTGGCACACACCTGTAACTCCAGCACTTGGGAGACTGAGGCAGGAGGATCACAGTGAGTTTGGGGACATCCTGGGCTATATAGTGAGTTCAACAGCAGCCTGCACTACAAATGAGGCCCTTTCTCAAAAAAGCAAAATGAATGAATAAATGAATAAAAGTTTCGTCTCTATTTTTGTATGTACTGCTTAATTATCACCACCACAAAGGACAACAAATACAAACTTGTATTTCATAAGTTCATAGGGGATACTTAAGAAGGTTCTTTATCATTGGTTCACTTTTACTTTTTAAAACAAACTATTACAACATGCAAAGCTCAGTGCTGGTTTATGACCATAATGCAAAACATCAGTCAGAAAATCATTTTTCATTATTCTTAAAAAATTTGGTAGCACACCAAGATAAAATTTTGCTCTGAAATCTGATAATTTTGTGGGGGTTTTTCTGTAGATTTATCAACTTAAATTTCTGTGGGAAATTTGCTGCAACATTATACTGTTAAATTAATTGATATTCCTACTTCTAAATTTGACCTTTCAGTCTTATTTCCTTATTTCCCAGAGTATGACAGACTTATGCAGTGGAAGTGTGTCTCCTCCAGAATTCATGTTGAAGCCCTAACCTTCAATGTGATTGTATTTGGGGATAAGGCCTATATTGCTCATTTTCTCCTTGCTGAAACAAAATACCCAACACCCATAACTTAAAGTAGGAGAGGTTCATTTGGCCCAAGGTTTCTGGGGGTTTCAGTCCATGGATGGCTCAGAGGCTCGAAAGGCCTGAGGAAGAAAACCTGCTCAACCCATGGCAGCCAGAAAGCAGAGAGAGAAGGGAGAAGAGAGGAGCTGGCTACAGGAACACAGCCTTCCAGGTTGTTCACCAGTGACCCATTTCTTCTGACCAGGCCCCCTTGTAAGCAAGGAGACTTTTAGGGGGCATTTTAGATCTAACTCATTATAGGGTTTTTACAGAAATAATAAAGGTTAAATGAAGTCTAAAGAGAAGAGACCCGACCTGATAGAATTAGTATCCCTCCAATAAAAAGAGGCCAGGGCATGTGCTCCCCCCCCCCCCACTGTGTGAGTTGCTGGGGATGGTTCTCTGTAAGTCAGGAAGACAGACCTCACCGGACCTAACTATGGTGTCACTCTCCTCTTGCAATTCTAGTTTCTTGAGTTATGAGAAAATTCCTGTTGTTTAAAGTACCTAATCTATAGTATTTTTATTATTTTATTATGGTATTTTATCCCAATTAATATACAGGAAAATACTTTTGAAAAATCTGTTACATTATGGCATCTCTGAGTAGAACCCTCCTAAGGCTGCCCACTCTGAGTAACTACCTTAGTCCTAACAATCCTAGCAACTGCCTCTAGGTGCTTTAGGTTTGGGAATCTCTCTTTTCTAATTTCAATTTCTAGTATTTTCCCATCTATCATTTTCTGCCTGATTGCTGAACCCACCAGTCATGCTCCTGTTTCAAGGTCTCTGCAACAGGACTCTTTGTCACTCCCCATATTGGCAGGGCTAACTTCCTTTGTTCACTTCCTCTGTTCCAATGGTATCTTGCAATGAGCATTATGTTGGCTACACACTTGAAATTGCAAACAACACCTCACCCCCTCTATTGACTGATCTTTACTTTCCGTGCTTTATTTCTTTTCCATAGCATTTATCCCTTTTTAACAAATCATGTAATATATATGATTATGTTTTACTGTCTGTCTCTTTGTTAAGAGGATAGCCTTTGTCTCTTTGGTTCCCCAAGTATCCTAAGGACTTAGGTCAGTATTAGCACTCAAAAAATTATTCACTAAATAAAATTGGCGAAGAGGCAAGAAACCTGTTTCAGTTGCAATATTGCCTCTATCATGCTGTTTAACTTTGGCTTTTTCTTATTTCTTTGTGTGTATTATAAAAGTTTTGGCTCATATTGGACAGAAAGCTCTCAATAGGTTTGACTTGGTCCTTTCTCATCAGTATTTTCTTTTGCCAACTGCCTTTCTCCTACCTTCTCTCTGGCCCTGCCCACTCCATCCTTCACCAAATATACTCTTCCCTTTCCTACAGCCTCCTTCTTTGGTTCATAATGTTGATAATCAGTACACATTTGATCAATTTTAATTATTTTGACTCATTCATAAAAAACCATACAGGCACTTTCTGACAGAATTGTGTCCTTTAGTGTTAAATAGTATCTAGAGCTCTGAATTCTAATCCTAAAATCTATGCTGAAATAGTATGTGAATTTTTTAAAATATTGAGCTAGAATTTGTCACCAATTCTCTCAATGCATATTTTTTTCTTTCTATAAAAATGTCAGTCAATTTAGAGACACCGAGCATCTCTTTTACTCTTTAAATGCTGATTAAGGGTTTAACGATTTCAACTCTTCCATGTCCTCATATTATTCATTTTGAAAGAATATTTTAGATTCTGCTAGTGCCTTCTACATATTATTAATAAAACTGAAGTATTTTTTCTAAACATCAGTTTAATAGACTGCATATTTACAATTTGTATCATCCTTTCTAATTTAAAGGTATGCCTTCCTTTTATTTTATTTTTATTATTTTTTTATTTTTATTTTTTGTACGGGGGATCAAACTCGGGACCTTTCACTTTCGAGGGAGGCAGCAGGACCACTGAGCTAAATCACCAGGCTTATAGCTTCCTTTTAGTAACAAAACGTTTGGTTTTCAGTGTCCTCAAAAATAACTTCTATAAGTCAAAATCAACATTAGTTTCTAATTATAGGAGAATTAATCAATTAATCAGATTTCCTGGAAAGCTTAGATTTTGAGCAATTTTGGTTATTTGGATATATTTACTAAATATCATGCACAACTATTGCTTGGTTGATGTAATTTGAGAAATAAAGCAAATTCTTCTTCAAGTTTACAAATTATCAGGAATCAATTCATTAAAAGAATAATGGGCTTTAATGCAAAGCCAAACTTAAAAACAATTCTTCAGTAGACTTTTAAATTCTTTTTTTTTTTTTTACCTCAGACACATCCAATCCCATGCATATATCGCCCTTTTTAGATAGATTATATTAAATTATTTTATCATATTAATATGGAGTTATTTTCCCAAGGTCTCGTAGTAGTTATACACGTGTGATGCTTGCATAATTTAAAAATTAGCATGGGTGTATAAAAACACACTGTCTTTTCTGATTTACATAACTAAATTTCTACTCTTAAAACTAAATCAGAAAAGGAAAAGCACGAAATGCATAAATGAAAATAGGAAATTTAATAAGGCTTGATTGAAGTTTCCGTGCAGGACATTCCTAACTACAGTAGTTACTGCAAGGTTGCCCACTCATACAAGCAACATAGGTAGCAGCATCTCCTCTTTAAAGGTTTCACTGCTCCAGATGGACCTGAGGGAAACCCAGACAGACCCAAGTTCTTGCATCTAGAAATTCTTTAAGCCGCGACTAACTTGGAGAAGCGACTTGATTGGCTACAAAATGAATGACGCAAGGTACTCCAAACCCTCTTAACAGTTCCTGTCAAGGAGCCCGGTTTCAGATTCCCCGTTCCGATTGGGTCCTACGGCAAGCGTTCAGGGACAATTTCTGAAGTTGACCTCTGTTTCCGGAACCGCAGGCGAAAATGGCGGCGGCCAGGTGTTGGAAGCTTGTGTTCCCGGGTCGGGGACTTTCGTTGCATACCGCTGCTGAGGCCGCCTCCACGGCTATGGAGTCAACCAGCACAGATGTCGGGGCCATTTCCGTTGCGCGGTACCCGCCGATTGTGGCTTCCTTAACAGCCAAAAGCAAAGCAGCACGGCTGCGGCGGGTGGAGCGCTGGCAGGCGACGGTGCATGCGGCCCAATCGGTGGACGAGAAGCTGCGCATCCTCACCAAGATGCAGTTTATGAAGTACGTGGTTTACCCGCAGACTTTCGCCCTGAACAGCGACCGCTGGTACCAGGGCTTCACCAAGACCGTGTTCCTGTCGGGCCTTCCTGCTCCGCCCGCGGAGCCGGGGCCCTCGCTGGACTTAGCAGCCTTACGCGACGTCGCCTGTGACAGCCTCCTGCAGGAGAGTTTCTACCTGCGGCGCAAACGGCGCCCTCCCCTCTTTGAGGAGCTGCAGACCGTCGCCTCGCCCTTCCTGGACCAGCTGTTGGCGGCCCTCATGGGCCATCTCACCCCTCTTAACCCTGTCTTGGCTTCAGCGGCTGTTGGTGAGCTTCGGGATCCGCACCCGGCGCGGGAGATGGGATAGTACCGGGCTTTTCACTGCTCCGTCCTTTTTCTCTAGCTGGGAGGCCACGTTTACTAGCACTCACTGAGTTAGGACTGTGGAGTCTAGGTTCTGTTGGCTGTTCAAATCTAGACTAGAGCTAAAGCTTTTCAGGATTCCTGGCCTTCATCCTGCTTTATGAATGTGCAGCCAAATAGAAGAGTAGTTGGTTAAGAGAAGAGGCCCTTAAAACTGTGGGGCAGACCTGGGTTGCCTTTTGGCATTTCCACCAAAAGCTGTTTGGCCATAATGTAATTTCACTAAACTCTTTCACTTTTTTTTTTTCTCATTTTCAAGATGAGAATTATGGTAATAGTACCACGTCATACAATTGTGAAGATTGAGTTAGGTATTAACTAAAATGCCTAACATTTACTCATTATTTATTATATGTCAGGCCCTGTTCCAGATTTTTTGTGTGCCATCTAAATACAATAACTACTTACAGTAGGTAGCCAATGGAGGAACAGAAACCTTAACTATATTTAGTCCAAGACCAACGCTTGGTAGGTTTGGGTGGTCAAGATTTGGACTCAGTAAACTACAATTTCCATCTAATTGTTCAGTGAGAACATGAAAAATAATGCATAAACAGTTTTAAATGTCAGTGTTTCTCATACATTGATTTGTATCTACCACCCAGTGGATGTCTTAATACTTAGTGAAATAATGTTACTCTGCCTAGCTTGCAGGGTCCATTCCCTTCTTCAGTTGGGGAGGAAGTGGTATTGAGGGAAACATGGTGAATTTTGACTACTTGTGATTGATTGGTGGCCTACAAATTATACTTTTTCAAGACCCAGCTTCCTCATATAAAATGGAGATGATTTCAGCGGTACATACCTTTTAGAGTTATTGCAAAGATGGAAATAATATTTCATAAGATCGCGCTGACTTCTGTTAAACTATTTTTAACTCTAGTGAGTGGCATTCTTGTTAGTCTATTGTTTTTATATCTATTCTTAACGAATAACTTTGGTTACATAGGTTAGTGTAATGATGATACAAGTAGACAATAAATGTTTTAATGTGATATGCAATTCAAAGTTAAACTGACACAATTCAGACTGTATCTTATATAAAAGTAATGAACTATTTTTTAATTAGTTACAGTCATCTTTGTCAATTGCGGTACTGTTCTAATAATAATTAAATTTATCTGAATGATCAGATGAAGAATTTTGAATCTTTTGATAGATTGTAAGCGCCCAGTTCATTTTTACTGGCTGCGTGGTGAAGAAATTATTCGTAGTGGTCATAGAAAAGGCCGAATTGATGCTTTGCGATACCAGATAAATGATACACCAAACAACCAGATTCGAATCTCCAAGCAACTACCAGAGGTAAGGGTTTATTGCATACACACATATATATTGACATTTGATATAGGAAATAATATAGGAAATGTCTTAGAATGGGTAATTGGGCTTGTAACATAAAATATTTTAGATGAATCTCATGGGTTTCCTATTTGTTTTAAAGACATCCCATCTGAAAATATTATTCAGTTTTTTAATCTGGTATGATATATTCTGTAGCGGTCAAATTGCCATGTTAGTGAGGTTAAGACATCAGTTTTCAAGACCATGTAGATCTTTTTGTTTCTTTTAATTTCATTAAGCTAGTTAGTCATAAATCAGTTGGTCTTTATAGTTATAAGCGCAGCAGTCATTTTACATATTTACAGTTCTTTTGAAGGCAAAAGAAATATACTTTCTGTATTGTCCATGCTTCTACATCAGGGGTTGGCACTCCTTCTGTAAAGTTCTGGCTAGTAAATATTTTAGGCTTTACAGATCTTAAGTCTCTGTTGTAACTATTCACCTGCTGGTCTTACAGAATATAAGCTGCCATACATAATATATAAGGAAATGTGTATAGCTGTGTTCCAGTAACACTCTCTTTGTAAAAACAGGTGACTTGCTTGTTTGGACTCATCACTAAGTAGTAGTACAGGTTGAGCTTCTATAGACCAAAACTCTGAATTTGGAAATGCTCCAAAATCCAAATTGAAGGCCAGTTCAAACTTTTGGATTAGGAATACTTCACCTGTAAAAACAATTTATGCAAGTATTCCAAAATTAGAAGAACTAAAATCTGAAGCAGTTCTGTTCCTGAGCATTTTGATTAAGGAATACTCATCTGTATTTTTAGCTTATTTTGTAAAAAATACCCTATTTAAAAAATAAGGATGTAAATAAAATGGACACTAATGTTCCTATAATTCAGTATACGTTTTCTTTTCCTTTAAGTTCGTCCCATTGGATTATTCTGTACCTATGGAAATCCCTGTTATGAAATGTAAACCTGACAAGCTTCCATTGTTCAAACGGCAATATGAAAACAACATATTTATTGGTAAGTTTCTCTTTTGACATATTGTGTCACACATGATCAAAATGTGCTGTGCACATTTGGAGCATTAACTGTAGTGAAAAATTCTTGATAACAGAAGTTCAGATAGTTCATTAATTTATAATCGCAAATTATTGCAACATGCATGATAAAGAAGTTCTTTTAGCTTATGACTTGAAATTGTACTTACTCCTACTATATTAGTAATATTTAACTTTAGAAGAGTTATACTTTCTAGGCTTTTTTGATTTACTATATAAAAAAAAATTGTGGTTTTTCAGAAGTAAAAATGTTTAGAACTGGATTTGGGACCATGATTGGCATTTTTACAGAACCATCCTGTCTGGGCTACACATGGTGAAAACCATCAAGAATTCAAAATTAATAAGGCCTCATGTCTTTCCACATAATAACTTTTTCTCTGATAGTTGTACCCTCCCCCCCTTATTAATTTCTAGCTGACTTGAGGCAGATTTTTAAGAAAGCTTTCCACCACTCCTCCAGACGTATTTTATCAGCTTTTTCTTGGTCACTGTAGTCTTAGGGAATGACCTATGAAGATCTTTTAAAAAGACTGCCAATAGTTTCATTTGTGTCAGCATTTCACCAAATACTGGTCCTTATTTTTTCGTAACTTAAAAATATAGTATAAAAATCTTTTTTTTTTTAACAATTTATCAGAGTTTATTTCTTTACTTTTTGCTACTGAGGATTGCCTCACACATTCTAGACCTGTGCCCTGCTACTAAACTACAACCCTAGCCCTTTTGTTTTGTTTTGTTTTTAGTTTTTTTATTTGTTTTGTACCTTTAACTACAAGACAGCTTTGTAACTTTGACTACACAAGGTTGGCATAATAAAACAAAGGCACTTAGCATCACACAGTCTGAAACACATTCCACCCATGGTGTATCCCAGTCAACTCATCCTGCCTCATGAAAGACAACTATTATCATCTCATCCCACCTCAGCTGTCATGTGAGTGGGGTGAAACTGGCCATGTGGAAGTATTTACACTAGAGAAATCAGCAAGTGACACAAATAAGAGCTTCTCTTTTCTTCTGGAGGAGAGCTATTGTTCAACCTGTGTCAGCATACCACTGGCTTCATCTATTCCTTCAATCATTTAACAGATATTTACTAAACCTAATGTGTGCTAGCTAGTCCCTGTAGTAAGCCCTAAGAATACACAAATTGTCTCAGTCATAAAACAATTTAGTTCACTAAAATGGGTGAACCAGAAAAAGACGCTCCAGTACTATCATCTTTCCCAGCTGAGTTCGATGAGCCATGATGGTGCTAGCATCTTATCTCCCTTTATATCCCTTTACTGTTCTCTATCCTTAGTTGTTTCTAAAATGTCCTGTATGTATATTCAGGGCTAACTCAGACATTATCATATTCTTATTTGATGGGTGAATCCATCAAACACACTCTAGCAAACTCGAGAGGAAAAGGAAAGACTATTGTGATTTACACATATTTTTGCTTACTGTGCATGTTCTTTTCTAACATTCCATGACTGCTTTTTTCATTAAGAAAAATTCTTACAGCCATTATTTTAGGGTAGGTCCGCTAGGGACAAATTCTCTTAATTTACTTTCATTTGAGAATGTCTTGATTTACAGTTCATTACTTTAGGATATTTTCTCTGGGTATAGATGCTGATGGCAGTTCTTTTCTTTCAGCACATGAAAAATATTTTGCAATCTTTTGCCTCCACGGTTTCTCAGCAGAGACTACCTATTCCTTGCTGAACCTTTCTACTTTCTACTTTTTCATTTGTTTCAAGCACACTCATAATTGCTCACTGAAGCATTTTTTATCATGATTCCTTTCAAATCTACCAGACAGTTCTAACACCTGTCATTTCAGTGTTGGCTTGTACTGATTACTTTTTCATTCAGCCTGAGATCTTCTGAGATTTTTGTATTATGAATGATTTTGAAATTAAACCTGAACATTTTTGTATTATGTTTTCAGACTCTGAATGTCATTTAAAATTCTTTTTTTAAACTAGCTTTTTGTGACATGCCTCTGGCAAAAGAACTGGAGGAGGGAGGACTGCCTCATTTCTGCAGGGAGTGCATGGAAGTCCAGGCTTCCTACTTGGGTCTAGCGACAGCTGAGGTGTGAGGCTCTTACTGCTGGGGAAAAGAGTTCTCCGCAGACAACATGGAAATAAAGGGTCGTTAGTGGTGAGGATGAAAATCCAAGTTCCTTTGTTGGTCTTCTCTGAAGCGCCCCCAGCAGCAGTGTTGGGCCACCTTATTACTCCACAAGGGTAGATGTCTAGGCTTCCCACCTGGCAGGGGTAGAGGTGGGCCCATGTTTTTTTCTATTCAGTTGGAGCACAGTGTTCATTATTGAAAGGTTCTTTGGTCTTGCTAGTACGCACCTTTCGGTTAGGAGAGTTTTCTTGGAGGTTTGGGGCCTATGCTGTTGGCATTCCCAGTTGCTCAGTACCTCCAGCTCCAAGACTTGCTAGAGGGACATCAATATTGGAAGAAACAACTTTTCATTTTTGCTCAAGGAGACAAATGGAAGGAGTGTTTTCTTTCTCGTGATCAAGGACCTGATTGGCTTTTTTGGTGTCTACCATTTTCATATCTTCCTCCATGGCCAAGGGGAACAGGTGATGGGACATTTTCTTAGTGGAATCACGTTTTAAGTCCTCAGCATGAAATGTAAAGGTCATCTCCCGCTTAATGCACCCCATCGTCCTCGTCCTCATCATTGTCCTCCTCTTCATCGTTGTCCTCCTCCTCCTTGCCCCCTTGGGGCTTCTCCTCCTCGCGCCTCAGCCCCTTGTGCCGCCGGACTTGGACTCGTCCTCATCCTCGACCTTGTCCTCCTGGCCCAGCAGCAGCAGGAGCAGCACTGGCGACGAGGAGGCAGCCCCCGCAGCCCGAGAGGAGCTGGAGCCCACGCCGCGCAGCGGGGGCAGCAGTGGCCTCCTAAAAATCGTTTTTTAAAGAATTAGAAATACAATATATAATCATTACACTAATAAAAGAAGTTTTGAAATCCAACTATTTATATTTTCTGGTGAATATGACAAAATATCAAAGCTCTTGATGACTGAAGGAACATTTACATATATTCTTTTGACTTGCATCACAGTGGGCTTTATGATAACTAGCAGATTGAGAAATTGTGCTTTCATGTAAAGTTTTGCTTCATTATAGTCAATAAAAGAAAGAAGAAAATTATTCCCATTTCTGTATTTTGAGTACTGAGCACGTGATAGAGAAGAAAAATGCCCATAATGCAAGTACTAAAGCACATGCTTTCAGATACTCTGCATGCACATTTTATCTGAAATGTTTTTATTTTGCTCTTCAGGTTCAAAAACAGCAGATCCATGCTGTTACGGTCACACTCAGTTTCATCTGTTACCTGACAAATTGAAAAGGGAAAGGCTTTTGAAGCAAAACTGTGCTGACCAGATAGAAGTTGTTTTTAGAGCTAATGCTATTGCAAGCCTTTTTGCTTGGACTGGAGCACAAGCTATGTATCAAGGTAAAACTAATTGTGTAACTTTATTGTTCTTTGAAGGTATCTTTGATGTTTTAAGAATTATTCAGATTTTTTTCTTTGGTTTAAAAATGTAGGCTACATCTTAGCATTTTGAAAAATTTTATCTTGACACAAAATAAAGTTTTAAGATCTATAATTAAATATTTTACATTGAAATGTAAAAGTGGCACTTAGGTAGTTATTTTGATCTTTTACTTTAACTACCTCCTGTGAGAATGTATTTTTTTCCCCAATGGAGTACACAAAAGATTTCAGAAACTTGCTAAATCAACTCTTTGTAGATTATATCAGCTTTCTGAGTATAGAAAAGGAAATGATTTGGTGAATTAAATATAAATCAAATTGTGGCTATCCTATATAATGTGTTTAAAGGCCATATCTAGGATTTAGATTATGAGATTGTTCATTCAGTAAATATTGAATGCTATTTATATGCCAAGACAGGTTGTGCCCTCCTGGGAGCTTTCATTGTAGTGAAAAAGTAAAAGAAATTCTTGTTTTCAGCTAATAGTAATCATAGAAAATAGTGTAAGGGATATAATGATTTATTGGGGCATGGCGGGAGATAAGTGAGATTAGAGGCAAAATCTATTAAAATAAGAGTCCTTAGGGAGGGTTCTTTAAAAAATTACTTCTGACCAAAGACCTGAATGGTGAGGAAAACACTTCAAGGTAAAAGGAATGGCAATAAAAGGTGGTGGGAACAGGCTTGAAGTATTTAAGGAACGTTAACACTGATGAAGAAAGAGAAGGAAAGAATGATGGAGAATTAGATAGAGGATGTCAGAGGCTAGATTGTGTAGAATTATATTTATTTATTTTGCTGTGGTGAAATTGAACCTAGGTCTTTTGCCTACTAAGCAGACCTTCTACCACTGAACTACAGCCTTTTGCCCTCAGGTAGGACTTTTAGAACTCACTGTGAATTGTTTAGATTTTATTGCAAAATTTGCATATACTATGAATTAGATTAATCTTATATAAATATCAAAGAAATTTGAATACAAATTTAATTACTAAGCTCACTTTTTTCTTTTACATATATATCTATTTTAATATGCTCACATTATTGACATATTTCTGTAATAGAAATGAAAACTGGAAGTGAAAGGTAAGGGTAGACAGAATCAGAAAATGTGAGAGGCAACCTTGCTGATGTTATATAGAGTGACACTATTTATTCATGAAGATAAAGTACTTTGTTTTTCAATGGAATTAATTCCATATTTTAATAGTATTATTCATTGGCTGTCTACTTAAGGATGATATGAAATATGTGTGAAATAAAATTGTCCTTTTGCCATGGCAGTGGGCTTTAAAAGTATTGAAGCCAGGCAGACTGGAAGAAAATATACTCAGAAAATTTGAGAAGTAGAAGAGCCAGGCATGGTGGCACATACCCATAATCCCAGCACTAGAGAGGCTATAGGAGAATCACTGTGAGTTCAAAGTCAGCTTGGGATACATAATGAGTTCAAGGCCAACCTGATAGCAAGACACTCCCTATCTCAAAAGAAACAAAAAAAAGAAGTAAATTTGAGTAGTGAAAGTATAAAGTCATCCTTGAACCTCATGACCTACAGCATGCTAGGCAAAAGGATAGCAACTCATAAAAACCAATATCTAAACATTTAAATGAAGATGAATTTACTTAAGAACATGTCTAAATCCAAGGAAGGACTTTTTCCTTGTGATTTTGGTGGAATAAATGGCCATAATGGTTATTGGGTTGTAGATGCTGCTAGTATGGGGAAATTTGAACATACCCGAAGTCCATGAGTTATGATGAAGTTAGTATGAAGTTAGGGATAGTACGAAGTTAGTTAGTATGAAGTTAGGGATCTTCCTAAACAGAGCTTACTGTGCTTAGGTGAAGTAAGTTAAGGTTAAAAACTGTTGAAGGCTGAAGTCGTTGAGAAATATGAATTGTGAGTTTAGGGATGCTACAATGTAGGTTGTAATTGTTGTAGAAATGCAGTATAGGGTTAGGATGGAGAAGATAAGGAAACAGATCTTCAGGAATTTGGTAAAGTATCTACTTTATAGTAGGTATTTGCTACCTTCTAATATGTTTTATTTTGTTTTGGTAAAATATATTCTGTGTGTAAATTTCAGCATAACTTTCTTCTACAGGATTCTGGAGTGAAGCAGATGTTACTCGACCTTTTGTCTCCCAAGGTGTGATCACAGATGGAAAATATTTTTCCTTTTTCTGCTATCAGTTAAATACTTTGGCATTGACTGTACAAGCTGATCAAAATAACTCTCGTAAAAATATATGCTGGGGAACGCAAAGTAAACCTCTTTATGAGACAATTGAGGATAATAATGTGAAAGGTTTTAATGATGATGTTCTACTTCAGATAGTTCACTTTCTACTGAATAAACCAAAGGAAGACAAATCACAGCTGTTGGAAAACTAACTGGAAACATTTGATTTGGGAGTTTGAGAATATCTGTTTCACAAAAGGAACAATAAAAAGATCTTTTAAAATGCTGTGTGTAACTGAGTTATTAAATGCATTGATTTTTGAGAAGTGTTTCTTAGGTTAACCTGTCATACTTGACTGTGGCAGCACGAAGGATGAGAGATTACTGAGAAACCATGTTCAGTTTTATCTCTGAGAGCCCAGAGTGACTGCCTTTTATCCCTCAGCTGAAAGACTCTCAGGAAAAAAACAGCCCTGATCTGAAGCTTCTGGCGGCTTTTCATTGATAGCACCAAGAAGCAAAAATAAAGCACAAAAGAAAGAAAGCACAAGAATTCATGTAAGAAGCATGGGAAAGACAGGATGATCTGCAGTGACTCATATTTCCATCTAAACAAGCCATTGGGGAGAGAACAGTGGCTGGAGCAGCCACAGTGGTGTTGCCTCACAAACTTGATTCTTTCCATGATCCTGGAAACTGAGTTGGAAGAGAACCAGATTAAATTCAGTGGTTAGGTTTGATGTTGACCTTTTGGAGAAATTTGATTCAGTTCTTGTCCAGTTTGGTTTGTGATCAGAACTGTGGAGAGAATTGAGTTCATGAACTGAGGTACCACTGTATATCTAAGTATTATCTGTATTGGATCCTGTTCAACTATTGCCCTTGCAGGTATGCTATAATCTTTAGCGATGCATTCCAGGAAGCCTGAGCCGTCGCTACAGAGGATCCCTTCATGTCAAAAATCATTTTAATCACTCCTCCAGCGAGGATTAAGACATCTTGTTCTGCTCAATTAATCACTGAAAGATTTAATTATAGCATATTGATTTAAAAATATTTTTTTACATATTTTTAACTGGAAAGACTAATTGTGTTACTTTTAATACCTTCATATTGCGTGTGATTTTAATCATACAGGTAGTAGTTCAAGTATTTGATAATATGTAGATATTTTGTAGTTTTTATCCATTTTTTTTTTGTTAATGAATGGTAACTGTCTTGAGCCCTACTCCTACCCCTTCAAAGCATGAACAATATTTTGCATATACAGTAAACCAAGGGGTTTGATAAAATTCTCAATCTTGATTTATAAAGAAAATAGAGATTCTATTCATAAGGTAATTTAATGAGAGTCTTACATTAATCAACACCCAATCATGTTTAATGGTAAAACACAGATGATATTCTCATTGAAAATAAGACAGAATTGACCTTTATGTGTTTTGTTTTGCTAATCCATTAAGTGGCTAGAATCATAGATAGGCACTCCATGTATGTTTGTTGAATGGATGTGAATTAACTAATCTTCCTACTTTGAGATCTGCTATGTCTTCATATTTTTTATATCAATAAAGTTCAGAGTTTATATATCTCCACATATTCATAAGTTTCTAATGATAATCTTAAGTAGCTCTTAAAAGTAGTTGTTTGTTTTGTAAAAGCTCTTAAAAGTGTATGTTTGTTTTGTAAAAGGTCAATTTAGCTCATTAAGTTGAAGAGTTTTTCAGCAAATTCTCATGAGGTACTTATTACATTCTAATTTGATACTCTTACATTATTTATCAGCATAGATGGCCATTAACTTCCATGTAGCACAATCTATTGGATAGTTTCCATCTTTACTCAGTACATCTTGCACAGTTTATGTGGTTGACTACTCCTTGAAGCATTGAAATCTTGCATTGCCTTCAGTGAAACACTCGATTTTTTTCCTGTCTCATTGACTGGTTTTTCATCTTTTCCTTTGCTCTTCTGCTAACCTTTCTTGAAATACTGGTGTACCTTTGACTTTTATTCTGGGTTCCAGTTTTCTTGATCCACACTCTTCTAGATGACATGGTCAAATCCCAATTATGTATTTAAATGTAAGCACATTCAATATTAAAGTTGGATTTCAGCTCTTTGCTTCAAATCTGAACTATAATTATCCCACTATAACTGAACAAATCTGAATGATTAAAATTATAGACAGTTTTTCCCTTAGTTTTTCAAATTTCATAGAAAATACATTTTTATAATGTAAAAAACCTTTATTGAATAAACTAATATATAGCCATCAACTTTTGTCAAGTTCAAGTCCATCAAATGACTATGAAATTGTATTTTATTTGAAAAAAAATTTCTCAATTATACTTATTCAAGAAACTTCACAAATTTCGTCAGAGTGTGACCAAAATAGTGAATATTTAAATTTTAAAACATTACAGTAAAAGACATTGGAAGTAATCTCTCAAAATATTCCCCTTTCCGTCAAACACACTATTCCATCCATTGTTTTTGCTGTTTTCTGAAGCAGTTCTGGAAGTCCTCTTTTATCAGTGTCTTTATGAGATGTGATAAAAACAGTGAATGCTGCTACCTAGAGTTATCTAACAGGTTTGTGAAAACTGTGTTCCCGTCCACCTTATTCACTGGAACTGGCACCATGTGACTTCTGGCTCTTCCAGGAGTCAAAATGACAATGAAGGATACATGTTTTAAATGGATTCAGAACATTTGAGGCAGCCATGGCAGTACAATTAAAGACTTACGAAAGAAGACTTCCAGAACTGCTTCAGAAAGTGGCAACAAAGATGGGATAAGTATGTTCAAAGCAAGGGGATGTATTTTGAGGATGGTAAATGACAATGTGTTTTGTACTGTAAATATTTTTTAAAAAAACATTCATTATTTTTGGATCAAACCACATATACTTTAACATCTTAAATAGTTAGTTCCTGGAAACTGAAAACAGATACTAGATGTGAAGTACTTAGATTTTTCATGCGATCTTTTACTTGGTTAGTACTATGTTCTGAAAGCTTATCCCTCCCACCCCCAAATTCATGATATTTTAACCTCCAAGGCAACAGTATTGGAAGAGAGACCCTTTTAAAAAGGTGGAGGCTGTTATAATTTAGACTTTGTAAAATGTCCCTCAAAAGCCTCATGTGTTTGGAAGGTGATTGGATTGGGGAGGTGCTACACATCATGGGTTTCATCTGTTGATGAGTTCAGTAGCTGAATTTGCTATGAGCAGATGGAGCCTGGTTGGAAGTATCTCACTGGAGTGTGACCTGGAAAGGTGTATTCTTTTCCCTGGCTCCCCCTATCTTGGCTTCCTGGCTGCCATGGGATGAGCAACTGTTTTCTGCTCTGCCTTGAGCCAACTGACTTTGGGCTGAACACAGTGGAAATTGTGAACCCAATAAACCTGTCCTGTAAGTTGCAGGTGTTGAGTATTTTGCCCCAGTGATGGGAAAGTGATAGAGGGCCTTTGGAAGATATTTACAAGGGGCTTTGCTGTCATAAATAGAATAGCCTCCTTATAAGCCCAGGGAGTTTGTTTACCACTTTCACCACATGACTACAGCAAGAAGGTGTGATCTATAAACTGGATACTGAATTTGCTGCTAACTGGATCATGGACTTATCAGGCTCCAAAACCATGAGAAATAAATTTCTGCTTATAAGCTACCCATTTTATGGTATTTAGGTGCTGCAGCTTAAATAGACTAAGAGTGAAGTTTATTAAAATGTCTACTGCTTTTTATATTCTAGCCTATATTGCATAATGCTTAAATAAAAGATAAGATTACATTAATTATTAGGCTTGATAATTTTTAAATTTACTATTACTGAATTTGGTAATATAGCTTTGAACAGAGACAAGAGGAAATAAGAAATGAGCACAGCACAAGGAAGATAAATGAGAAACTATTGTGGCAGAGAATACCTACAATAGTTATAAATAGGCCCTCCAGTTTACAACAGTGATAGTGACCAATAAATGATTGAACATGTTGAATTTCTCAACTTGAAAAGGCTAGTTTGTTTAATTTTGTAAAACAGTAATAATAAAAAGAAGAATAAGAGATTCCACAAAGACAAATTATGGGTAATAATTCAGGCATATCTTGGTAAATAATAAGCATGTACTAGACTAAAATTTAGCAACAGATGTTAGCTTATCTCTACACTAAATATAGTTGATATGACTAGGTAACTTTAAGACAACTTTCATAATAAGACCATTTTCAATAATGTTTTTCTAAGCCATTCTTTTTAGTATGACTTGCAATCTACTTCACAATCTCATTTCTTTTTTTTTCTTCTGTGAAAATTACCAAAATGTCATATTTGGTTGCATTGTGTGTTCTTTTTCATGCTATGAAATTCTGCATTTCACTTTGTATAATTTTTATAGATGATAGATATTTTGCACTTTAAACTGGCTTTTCAAACTTTTATAATAACATACAGAAGTTTGAGGCTTAATGTATCTTGTGTTTTAGCTTTACATTTTTTAAAGAAAGTTATGGTTATAAGATGATTTGTTTTTATAATTATATAATGAAACTGGCATTGGATTTAAAATGGAAATAGTATTTTCTAGAAATGAATCAAATCTATAGGAAATCTACATTAGTAAATCCAAATGGCATATCATTTGCTTTTTGTTTTTTCCTTTTACATTTTTGGACAAAGTAAATGAAATTTTATTCTAGTCTGTGGGAGACCTATAGACTTAACTAGCAACAACTCATACATAGGCCAATTCTAAACAAGTCCCCTGTAATCCCAGCACTTAGGAGGCAGAAAGATTGCAGTGAGTTCCAGGCCTGGCTGGGCTACATAGTGAGCTCAAGACCAGCCTGAGCTACATAGTGAGACTCTCAATAAACAAACAAACAAACAAAAATATTTTCTTTGTTTTACAATAACTATCTAAATGATTATAAACTCGATGTGGTTATATTTTAAATATGTGTGCACAAAATAATTTTATGAAAAAAGTCAGATGAGGAGGTGGCATATTCCTGTAAACCCAGCACTTGGGAGTCTCAGGGAAGAGGATTGCTGTTGTGTTTGAGCCCAGCCTGGGCCATATAGTGAGTTCGTCACCCTAAACTACATAGCAAGACTGCCTCAGAAGTAAACCAAAAAGAAAAATTTTATGAAAATTATATCAATATACAGAAACCCATAAATTTAGTATTGTTTAGATTATATAGTTATTATATAACTATAAAATGAAGTTATATATGTAATTTAAAAATTTTGGCATTACTTGGTATTGAATGCTTGTCCTTCCGCAAGCTAAGGAAGCATTCTACCACTCCAGCCCATATGTTTTATAAGTGAGCTAGCTGTGTTTATTAATTATTTTAACTCTAGGTTTGAGTTATTTACAGCTATCCTACCTTAGGAAAACATAAGTTTGTATCATGTTATTATTCACTTGGAAAGTATTTCTTTGAGTGATCAGTTGCTTGACTATTATTTACAACTAATAATACTTGTATTTCAGTAGGATCTTCTTAACCTTCAAGAATTTTTCTCTCAATCATTACTAATAAAGTAATTACTAATAAAGTAAGCAAGATTTAAGGCTGGAATGGCCTTTTGCTGATGATAATTTAATTCAGTTGTTGAGCTTTGTTTATTCCATTCATTGTTACCATTGCTCTGTTTCTTTTTTAATCGTCAATGTATTTTTTAAAAGAAGGGGATTATAAAAATTTAGATTTTCAGATTTTTCTTGAAAAAGATGACAATTCCAATTTATATCATTATGTATCAGCAAGAGGAAAGAGCTAGGAATTCACTGTTCTTGATCCCTTTAGCTGGGGCCTACTCACAGGTTTGTCACAATTCTCACCACACCTCATTTCTCTACTTAGCCAACATTATTTTGCCTACTTCCTTAAATTCTATGGAATATTTTGTTTATGACCCATGAGGCCCTATAGATCTTAAGAACTTTTATTATTGGTAGCCAAACTCAACCTTTACAACTACTTTTAGGTTTTAGAGCAGTGATGGCAAACTTTTTAGAGCTTTCAGTGATACAAATAGATACAAATAGCCTACTACAGCACGCATGGCTTAGATTTGCCACTATCACTTTGGAGCCTCAATTTTCTTGCAATAGGCATAATAATCAAATTCAGATGAATTCAATTTCATTTTAGATTTTTGAGTGAAATAAAATCTCTAGTCTTTGGGGTAGAGAATGGTATATAAAGTTATCTGGCAAAATATATGAACTTCTGTTCCTTCTTTGATAAATGAATGACAAAGTGAATCAATATTTGTTTTTTGAGGCAGTATCATGAAATTGAGAAAAACTTTGTCCATTTTTTATAGAACCTAATCGGTGACCAGAGGGTCTGAAACACTGTACTAAGTTTTTAGTTTCCCTTTGTAGCCTAAATTAGGTTGACTACAGCACTGCCCTCTCCACTTGTGGAAGAAGGGTTAAAATGCTTTTACAGGGTTGAACCCTTAGACTAGAGGACCTGTTCAAAAGGTAGTTCATACATAAATCAGCTAAAAAGCTGTAAGTTGACCCCATTTAAAAAGAAAGAAAGAAAACTTTCAACT